CTTTAAATTCCCTACGCTATCTGCATAACCCTACCTTCAAGAGCTGTTGTGTCTTTGCCATAACCTGAAATTTCCTAAGTCCACCTTTGGAGCATCATCAGCTCTTTGCATTACCTTTTAATTACCAAACAGCACTTTCCTTTCCTTCTCTGAATGGGGAGATTCTAACAGGGTTCACTAAAAGGGTTCTCTTCTGCCTGTAAACTGGTTTACTTGCTACCAGTAAAGAAAAAACTTGCCCAAAAAACTTGTTTCCTATACAAACCAAAGACTAAGAACCAACTCTTTCTATATACAAATATTAAAACCTTAAAAAACAGGGCCAGTATATTATTAGAAGTTTACTACTTATTTTCCACTTCCAACATGACTCCTGTGGTACCTGGAGTCCTGACACCTTAAAAAAATGTATCCCATTTACACAATTTGAAGGTAATACCAAGACATGTGTATGTATTTTCTAAGGTAAAGACACTACTTTCATTTTCCTTTTCTAATGGCAGATACATGCAGAACTGTAAAATTCCATGTTTTAAAATACTGATGTTTAATATGAGCTCCATATGTTTGGAAAAATTGGGAAATATGAAAGTACTAAAACCAAAATATGAGTAGAACACATTTAGTGGGTTTTATATGCCTGAAATCTAGTGCATCAGAATAACTGACAAAGTACAGTAATTAAGAAAAAGTACAGATACAGATAAAGGGAGAGTTACATGCCAAATAAAAGTAGACTTGAAATGCCCTATTGACCTTTGATTCCTAAACCATTTGGATTTTGCCATCTTAAGAATTTCCAGTACTCTTTTCATTGTATGTAACTAAATGAACCTACAAAAATGAGTGAAAAAATATAACTTGAGGATCCTATGCTGCTCTTAAACTGACAGAGTGTTTGTTCATTTGGTAAATTCAACTGCGTCTTTGCGTATGTACCAGAAGCTTGGGAAACCCTCATGTTAGCCCCACTTGTGAAATCCACAATGCTGTCCAACTGCTTCTAACATCTACAAGCTGATACTACTGCCACTTTACCAGGTATTTTTCCCCAACCTTGTGGGAAGTTCATCATGCTGTTCGCAATTCCTAATCTTAAAAAAGCAAGCATGAAATAAAATCTGCCTTCTTAGCTAGGGAGAAAAATAAAAGAACATTTTCACATTGCTGACTGAGGAGAGAACATGTAGAGACCCAAACTGTCTGCCTCACCGATTTATTTTTTATACTGATGTATTTCAAAAGACTTAGTTATCTAAACTTTGACTAAAGGAACTATATTTCTTCAGCTTCTCTGTAACTTAAAGTCTAGGCCAGTCACTTGAAAGAACAGGTTTTTATCACATACTAGTCTTTCTGAATCAAAATGTCATGGTTGGTTTGGTTTGGTTTTTGTGGGTTTTCTTGTTTTTACAAATGAAACCCCAAAATCTAAAAATAATCTCAGCAGATAAACTCTACAGCAGCATGCAGAGAAGTAAAAATTTTGTACTTTCAGAGTGACTAATGACCCTGCTTGAACAAAAGTGTTTACACCTGTCAGCCTACCTCAGTAGCCAATCTTACTCAAGTGAAATGCATGATTGTCCAAATGCACAACCCATTACTTCTATCACTGTAACATTTCATATAAAGCATAATAAAGGTTTGAAGTTCAAATATAAACCACAAACAACATGCAACACAGGGACCCAGAAGTCCAGCTCATTCATCCAGGAAGAGACAATAAAATCTAGTGCCGAGAGCCTGGGTCAAAGCTCTCAAGTAAACTGAACACACCTACGGATGACAGCAAGTCTCTAAGCAAATCTTCCATATGACAACCACCCTACCTTATGTCATCTCTCACACATATTATATCCAAGACAGGATAAAGCAAATACACCCTGAAGTCCAGATACACAAATATACCCTAATTGCTCCAGTCTTCTTTCTTTGCACACACTTAAAAAAACCCCAGTAATTCTGAATTGCATATTAAGGTGTTTAAAAGCGCTGTATAAACTGCCCTCAATACACACTCATACACTTACAAGTGTAGAATTTTTCACTGTCTACATCTAGAAGAGCTGAAACAGAAGAGCCCAGCATGCACCCCTTCCTGGAATACATTAAAATGAGCTAATCAACTTCATCACAACCCTTAGCACCACAGCAGCTTCGATAGTATTTTGTACTAATTATGGTATCACCAAAGCCTCACACTGATGTACTCTTCTTCCAGTGCCATCTGCTGTACAGCAAATTTTGACAGCCTAAGTAAAGACACCTCTAGAAATTCTGCTGGCAGGTATTTGCAACTATAAACAGCCTCTGAACTCTGCCAATGTATTCCCAAAGCATGGTGTCTATATACACAGAAATACCTGGAACACACGGATTGAAAATGAGAGATTAAGCAGACCCAGAAAGAGAATGAGATGTTAACGCAGAATTTCATTCTGTCTTACAAGTTTTCATCCGAAATTCTGCATCTTGGAATCTTTAAAATTATGCAGGTTGACAAAACACAGGCCTCCGGACAAAAAATCACCTGGGCTAAATTACTACCCAGAAAACACCATAGTGCCCTCTATGTTTATAAAAAAATAATCAAAACTAAATTTGCAGTCCTCATTTTGGAGTGAAGAACAACATGAATTAATCACACACAAATGTGAAATTATTAGCAAAGAGATTTAAAGCTAAAACTTCACTCTACAGGTTGCTTCTCAGAAATCTGAAAAGCACGTCATACAATCATACAGTAATTGATACAGTGGCCAGCACGGATTTATGAAAAACTACAAAAGCTTAAAAAAATAAAAAAAGTTTGTGCAGATCCTCATTGAATATTCAACTCTTCAGAGTAGTTTCAGTTTGATGCTACAAAGTGGTTTCAGTGGACTACAATCATATAGCTATCTCAATGCAGTGTTCACAAAAGTGCACTAACAAAAAGTTTGATTATATTTATATAACATTTATTCACTTCTATCTTTTTCACACTTCTAAGTTAGGTGACCTCATTTCCAGAGACAAATATTACAGTGTTGCCAGAACATACTACTACAGAAATAAAACCGCATTAAGGGTTGGGACAGAAACCATCATAATGGAAACACAATGCAAAATACAATTTCTCCTTCAACCATGAGTTGTATCTTAAAAAAATACCATCACAAAAGTGGCTTGGAACTATTAATCAATGCTGCTTCTGGTAATTTAGACTTTCCTAAAATAAATGTTAATCTGATCATTTCTTTCTATAAATTAAAACAGTAGAGCATTAAACTTGATTTTTTTGAACCCACAGCTGCATTATTCCTGAGAATTCTGGCTATCCACTAGAAACATATCTTTATTCTTACACTGAATCATCGTAAGACTTAAATCATTTACAACTTCAAGTTAAGTAGATCTTGCTTCAGAACATTTGGCACAACTGCGTGGAGCTAAACTGATGAGAATAATGCAGACAGTTGAGAAACAATTGTGAAAAATATGTATCTGGAGATTCAGAAGTTTCAACTTGACAAAAAGAAAAAGCGTTTTCACCATTAGGACAGTCAGGCAGTAGAACACATTCTCC